TGTAGCTATATCGAGCTCGGCGTTACAACAACATAGTTCGGTAATCGCTTGCTCCAACTTAAAATGGTATGCGAGTTGCGCCCGAGTGGTGGTTACCGCGTGACGTCTCTATTCATTACTGAAGCGAACGGCCCTCTGCAACTTTGTTCATACAAACTCGCTACTCCTACTTTCCCTATAAAGTAGAGTTGTGACAGCGAGTAATGTCTCCTTATATTGTTCTGGGGCTAAGAGGTTTGTCTCATAGTTGGAATGAGAATTGTTAACTCTTACATTGTCTCGTTAATTTATCGGTGCGGGCCGGGTGTACAGAATTTTTGAGATTAATCTTTGGTCAAATTTCCGATAACGTTTAGAGTCGAAGAAATAGATCGTTACAGTTTATTAATGACTAGGGTAAGGTCTTAATATTGGAGTTCCAACGAAGAGTTTGGGCGATAATCGATACTTGGGAATATCGATTATGAAGTTAGTGCGAAAATCATCGGGTGCGGGCGGGCGCTTGACAAATGTCCGTTATAAGCGGAGAACAAATTGGTGCAATTAATTACGGGCGGAGCTGGCAGCGCTCAGCCGACAAATATTATCAAGATAATTTCGACATCTTAGTTTGGAGGCGCTCGGCTATTATGCGATGTGTGGCGTATGCGACCGTACGGATGCTCCAAATTATACTTCTAATTGTAATCGATTAAATTCAATTGCTTATTTCTATCCAAATACCTAGGGTAAACTTATGACTTTTGATAACGGTAACACATTATTTTATTCTTAATACTAAATCATACCCATAAAGAAAACAAGGAGAGTTGCATTCGGTAAAAAAATATTTTGATCAACAGAAAAAAAATCAATTCGGCTTCAAATCAACGATTAGTGAAAGAATTGTAAAAGAAGAAAATCTCAGCAGGTAATTAGTTCAATCAATCGCGTAAAATTGTTCGATTGAACACGAACGTTTCCTTTGAATTGCAATCGTTCTTTTAATAACTTAAGTACCTTTTCAGTTAAAGCGCTAACGATAGATTTGTACTCTGAAAAATAATAAGTTTATTGACCTGTATATGAGAGAAAATGTGCGTCAAAAAATAAGTTTCATTAAAAGACAGTTGTATTAAGTATTAAGTTTTATATTGTTTTACAAGGCAGATTAAGAAAGCTCACGTTGAATTTGTCTACCGATTCAATCCTACCGACGTATTTCAGCTCGTAAAACAAGAATATAAAATTGCGCGCGTAACACATGACTCTTAATGAAAAGTATATTATCTCACATAAAAACATTTTACGTTCGTTTTCAGCGGTGGTTATTAAATTAAATCATAATTTACACTCGCCGAGTTAAATCAGACTGTAAGCTCGTGAAATCGCAATAAAAATTATTAGACTCGTTACAGCTTTTCCTCGCTAGACCCTTTTTATTCTTTTTCATATTAGAACCATTCTCAGGAACAATGACGTCATAAATGCCGAAGCGATTTTTCATTCCCATCATAAATGTTCACACTCTCCGTTTTATTCGGCCACAGAAACAATGTACTACGTGTGACGTACGAATTTATTATTAATTCTTATGCATTACTTTTATTACCTGAATTTGTTCCGATATTTCAGTATAATTCCGGATGATTCCTAGCAATAAATGAACTCAATAAAAATAACTGTCAAGGATTTATGAGGTGCCGTTAAAACGATTACAAATACATTCTGCATTTCTCCTACCTGTGTATTTCATATATATCCGCATTATTATGATTATAAATATTTTAATGACATAAATACAACAACAGAGTGCATTATCATTATTAATGTGCGAAGTAAAGTTTTGAACCGTTTTTTATGAAAATCACGCAGACGGAGAAATATGAAATTTGGCACAGCTAAAGTTTATGGAAAAGAAATGCAGAATGTGATCTTTTTTGTTTTAATACTTACAAAAACTTAAAATTAATAAAAATCATGCATTTGACTCTTTGTTTACTTAATATTAAACAATAAAACTTTTTAGAATTACTTTATTGTTTTTCTTTTGAAACGTTATTAGCCGTGGTGCGAAAAAACTTTAGAGAGGAATTTCTTAGAAATCACATCAATACAATAATTGAAATAAAACAACATGAGCGACATTATATAGGTAACATTAACAAACTTTTTTATGTTGAAAACACGGTCCAACATTTTAATATCACTAATAGATTATCCGTATTGATAGCTACAATAGGGTTTCGGACTCTGAACACGTATCATTCTGTCCATACTATCCATCGATAAAAGGGCCGAACAGCTCGTGTGATCTAAGCGAACCTTTCATGTATATTTTACTCTGTATATTTTGATACGAGGTCCCTCCTATCGCATTCATTCAAATGACATATTGGAGAAACGTTTGAGCGTGTACTGATCGAGAAAATATCCAACAATTTCTTCTATCGAAAGTAAAACCAAATATCATCAAGTGAAGAGCCACTGCGAATTGATTTATATCCTTAAGTTTATCTGGAAACTGGTGTTTTTATATGATGATTCCTTTTTTATGATAGTGCTATGGTAAGTTTTAGTTTTTAACCGACTCCAAAATCCAAAAGAAGGAGGTTATATGTTCGACGATGATGTTTGTTTTTTATGTATGTTCACCGATATTTTCGACAATTTTTAACCGACTTTTTTTTTATTCGACAGTTTGATGGACAAGGATCCCATTTAAATTTGAACGAATAAGTAATTTTCCTTTTATAACAAAACAAAATACGCTTTCAGATATTACCTCAATATTAAGATGATATGATATGACATGGCCCATTTCAGCTAAAACAACAAAAGATTGAGTATTTAGAATTCATTCAAAAATCTGAAAGGAGAATTATCTATGTTTAAAGAGTATGTATACTTTATTCTTTGATGTGTACTTTTTTATGAAAGTCATAGATAGTAGGTATCAAAGAGTATTTATTTAGGGGTAGGTATTTTCGTTGATTTCTTCTTGAATTGTGAACCAATTTCTACAAGCTAATTTAAATTAGCTATTTCCTCGCGACTTTGCCTTCGTGAATTTATACCCTATGTCCGCCGCGTATTATGTAGCTCCCCGTAGATGGAAGACTTTTATAAATCGGTTCAAAGTTACGGCCAAACAAACAAGCAATCAAATCTTTTCTCTTTATAATATGAATATAGATTATTGGAAAAAGAATATGTCAAGCAAATAAACAACTTCTCCTTTTGTAACACTTCCACTATGTTGAATATTTTTATTTAGATAGATATTAATATTTTAATATAATATTTTTAGCATTACTTATATAATAATAACATTAATATCACTAAAACCATGAATAAAAACTTAAAAAAAAAGTCGAACTGACTTTTCTTAAATAAGTCACTTTTGAGATTTTTTTTGAAATTTTTATTTTTTATTTATTTATTTTATGGATGGATAGACTGTGTAAAAGATGATATGTGGAAGAAAGAAGATAATTTTGAGATAACGGATGATCGAGAAATATGGATGAAGAATAAACATTGCACCGACCTAACGGAAAAGAGTAAACTAAGCTTTAATTAACTTAAAAATTTTGGTAACTTTATGTTTATATCAATTAAACATGAAGTGTCTAATGTTATTAGCTCATTACACATAAACCTGTATTGTCACCTTTAAGTCTTCGTAATGAAAGCATCCGACATCATTCTTCATTAACTTGAAAAATTGTTATGGAAACGAAAACTGCCCTCTTTTCTAACACAATCCACCAGTCCGCTCAGAAATTTCCATCCTCGTTGTTTCTTTGTTGTGAAAAATGTTATTTAATTTCGGGCAATTATTACACGCGCTCTACGAAATTACTCCAAGGAATAGGATCTCGCGGATGTTGGTTTTATTCCAGAAACAGTTCCTTTTTTTACAATGAAAGCTTTATGCCGCAAATGGGATTCCCGCTGTTAGCATAATCTGCTCTTCATTATAATAAGTAAATTGTAAACATTGTTTGCTATTAGTATCTTCAATTCGAACCTACAAGTTTAGTTAGAGCTCGTTTCAAATAGCTCTTTTTCTGTTTAAGTGGAATTGATTTAGTTTTTTTTTTTGGAATGTGAATCTTCGCTATGTTCTTAAAGTAGTTCTTATATTTGACGTATCTTGCGACGTCATAAGTAAATAATTCCACATCGGAACTATTTGGATTGATTTTTAATCTTACGCGGGCAAAGTCGTAGTTCTAAATACAAAGAGTTTACGAGTTTTTCGATATTGCTGACCTGTGATGTTTTTTTTTAAGGGAACGATGTCAGGCTTTATTAAGTGTCTAGCGTGAGTGATATCAGTGGCGTGGCAGGTGTGAGAGCGCGATATTTGGCAAAATCGCGACGAGCCATATGGAGACTGCGTCGCGTCATTTGTACATTTGCTTTATTACGCAACTTGATTTATACGTTCGCCCGGTGCGTTTAACTGCTCAGGTCTGTCATTTCGCCGTCTTAAATTGAGATTGATCCCGGAAAGGTTGACGTGCTCCTCGAAATTGTTTACGTAATTCTGTCGTGGATGCCCGGCTATACTCGCGTGAGGAAAGTAATAGCCTTCGGATGTCCCATTAATATATCATTTTAACTGACGCAAGTGGACATAGAAAAATGTTCAAGTCTCATAAAATATTAGTCACTTATTTACCTTAATAATCTTTTGGGGACATCGCTCGCCGGTGTGGCTACAAAACTAATGTATTAACCTTCTTATTGTTACCATTTCCCGGACTATTAGGTGAAAAGTAATGTGGGATTATTCGTTATCATATAATTTGACGGCTCGATATAAGTTTAATCTTTATTTTATTTGACAATCTACATAATGTGGCAACATACACCGATCCTAGTGTTACCATTTTCACATTACATTTGTCTTGGGTCTAAAACATTACTATAGTCTACTCGATGATTATTATTATTATTACGATTTGATGTTTATGACAAATTAATTTTAATATTTTATTTAATTGTTACAGAGAGGCTCAGACGAGCTTCTTTCGCAGAGTGGCGTCACCGTCATGGCGCCCGCCGCTCCCCACCACGCCGACAATAACAACCAAGACTCCGCCGCCAAAAAGGTAACTTTAACTATTCGTATTCAGTTAAACAGTGTTTGTCTAAGTAGGGTAGGTACTAAATGACTATTATACATTACACATACACGCGTACCTACGCGGCACGTACGTACATTGGCCGGTGGGAAGTACGCGCCAAAATTTACGTGATAGTGGCTCGATGACGTCACGGTGAAGGTACTACTCTTACAGTTGACTCAATTTGCTATAAAAACAAGCCCACCCATATCACATTAATATTAAAAAGATATTTCTTTTGCCACTATATTTGTTACCTTTTTTAGTAATTAGTTAGTTAAGGGGTTGATTGGTTAATTAAGCGGTTCGCTGTCATATGGAATCTTTTACAGGGGTTCGTGGAGACAAAAGTTTGAGAAACCCTGAGAAGGACCGACATAATATAAATCAAAATCTAACAGTTATTGTGATGATTTGATATACAAAATTCATGATAGGTATTGACATAATTATACTGATCACGACATGCATTAGGGTCAACGTACGTTTGTGAAAGAAACACAAACAAATAGTAAAATCGATAAGTTACAACCATTTATATTTTTTTTTGGGTTGTTTTATTGTCACTTGACTGGACCAGAATTATATTCAGTTATAAAGAGGTGTTAGCGAAATATGACAAATTACATGACAAGGATTACAATCTTTAACAGTATTTGTGTCTGTGAAATCTGTATATTATGGTAAGTACATTAGTTATTTACCCCACATCGAAGACTAGGTCATTTTTTCTCTAAGTAGTCGCTGCGATTATTTGAACATATGCTGTAGGCACTCTGACAATAAATATGTCTGTAGTCGACAGAAAAATTGAGTTTATTGAAACCGATTTATTATTTATACTTTTTTTTCTAAATCGTATTCACTACAAAGAGCTAATACTGTTACTAATAAGCTACATGTGTATAACAGTCATTTAGTTACATCTCTTTCACACAATTCCCATGTAATTTTAGTAACAAGAAGATTAGACGCGCACTGATAACTTTCTGTCACCGTGATTTTTCTTGTCCAATCACCGCACTTGAGAATTGTTATGATGTGATACATAGCAGTTTAGTGACTTCCATACAAATGACAGATACATAGGTCATCTCTGGAAAAAACAATGTGTGCGTAGCTTATTAAGGAGAAAACATACGTAACAGCAGTGCTTATATTGTTTATTAGTAATATCTGCAGTAGGTATTTATACAAAATGAAAATGTCAATCAGTAAGGATATATTCCTTATTCTATAACAAATTTATTTAACAAAGCGGCTTCTATTACATTTCTAATAAATTCTTCGTAAAGTTCTTAATAAATGAGTTTTTTTTTATAAGATAACTTCAATTATTTGCAATACTAGAGTAAATATTGTTTATACTTAACCATCGTAAATAGCTATTACATTTCAACGTCTAATTGGTGAGAAACTCAATATCAACTTTGAAAGTGAAGTTTGTTTTTGTTTGAATATTTTTAGGTATTTTTTTTTATTGGATTATAATTTTCAATGAGTTAATTATTGATTCGATGGTGTGATATTTAATTTATATCTTTTTCTAAACCACTTTGGCTCTATAATTAACCGAATAACGATTAATCGAGATTAAGCGATAAAACAACGGAATCGCGAAACCGAAATGAGTATTAAAATAAAAGGTCCCCCATAAAAAGCCAACGTGCCATAAAGGGGCATCCCCGGAGGATTGAAGGGCCAAAATTTTATTAATCTCTACCCCCGACCTGCGATACCGAATGAATTTTTACATAATGCATTGAATAGGAATGGAATTGATAATTTCAAGAAATGAATCCGATATACCTTTTATGAAGAGAATCTTACAGATTTATCGGCCCAATATAAGACAGTAAATACTGTAATCGATAATTACACAAGTATTTATATTATGATGTTTTTGTGATATTAATATTTTTTAATTATAATAGGTGACACTTAAATATTCAATATATATATAATAATATATCAACATAGTGAAAGTCTTAGGAATGAAGATTTTGTTTATTTAAACGACATATTATGAAGTGGAAAGATTTGATTGCTTGTTTGTATATAAACCTATGTAGGTTTATAATTTTACGCAGGTGAAGTCGCGGGGAAACAGCTAGTTTGATAGAAATTAGTTCACAATTCAAGAAGAAATCGATGAATCTACTAATGTACTTACACAAAATCTATACATATCTATACCAGTGGAATAGAAAATCCTCCTTCCGGATTTTGAAACAATGTAAAAGACGCAAACTTTTATTTTTTGGCTAATATAAACATTACATATATACATGTATATTATAACTCATTCAGGAGTATTTGTGTGCGTTTCTACAAATAGAGCCCTAGCAAAATACAACAAAAGGATACAGTTTAAATTTACTATTAAAAAAATACTGATTGAAAAAGCTTATTATAAGGTATCCGATTATGTAATAGATAAGAATGCTTGAACTTAAGACGGTCTCGCAACTGGAATGATTTCTTCCAAACTCATTATATCTCAAAAATTATAATACATAGCTCTTTTTCTCTCTATTTATAATGTATTGATTTGGTAATAACATGGTTTTTGCAAATGCCATTATTCCTATTAGAGCTGGTGAGTTTCTTGCTCGTTCTTCTTATCAGCCAACAGACGTCCTGAACGAATGGTAAGGAAAAAAATGGTGGACGATTCAAAAGTACTTTTAAGAAGTCTATTTGAATAAAGATTATTTTGAATTTGACTTCACTTTTGACTTCATCAAAATATTTAGGTGATATCTGATGAAAAGCATAATTTGTTTTGTTATAAAAATAAAACTACTAATTCGATTTCAATAAATTTCAAATGGTCCTTTGTCCTTTGACATAAATAATGCCAATTTCAAAACGTATTTATTAAAAGAATTATTGACAAGTTTTATCCACGGTGTTTATTATTTTTACGTATTCAATTAACACAAACGCATATTGCTTGTGTAAAAATAAAAAAGGGCTTAAATATACGGTTACAGTTTTGGTTGTGCTCTGCTCTTGTTTGTGTATTTACATAAATACTGCGTTAGGTGCACTCTGTAGTGAAACAAACAACCTGCTATTTGTGGATCCCGTACAGTTACGATGAAAGTATCCATTAAAAAAACTAATATTACCATACCATTTCAACAACGTTCAATTGATATCGAACGAACAATATATAGTCTAACACCCGGTTTCTAAATTTAAAGTTAAAAACGTCTCAAACTGTACTCAAAAGTCAGTTAAACTGGTTTTCGTTTCTGATTTTAGTTTTATTTTAAAGATCAATTGACAGCACTTTGATAAAACTATGACTTTTTGACTTGTGAAACGTAAAAAAAACTTAAGTTATTGAGAAGTTGAGATTTTGTATTTTTCTCTGTTCAGAAATCGACGTAAGGGTACTTAATAGATTTATAGTATATTTTATAGTAATAAATCCTATTAATATTATAAATACGAAAGTTTGTGATGACAAATAAATTTGCTTGTTACCCTTTCACGCAACAACGAATGAACGCATTTTGATGAAGTTTGGAATACGAATAAAAAAATTATCCCACAAAAATTCATTGAGGATAAATCTAGCCACTGTAATCAGAACGATACTAAAACGAGTATGTCTCGACAGCTTGCGCTGATAGCTACGCGCGTAGATGTCAGTCCGCATTACACTAGAACCAGCATTAGGCTGGTCAGCGCTGTGCGGTCGGCGTAATTTTCAGAGGACAAACTTTAGAACGCTTCTATAAAGCCCATACATATTGACCTGTCAGCACTGACTGTCAGCGTGATACTAAAACCACGTAGGTACTGGCGTAATACTTAGGTAGGTAAGTGGCAAGTATGCTGGTAAACAAATTAAGTTTAAAATTCACCATTTATTCAACTGCTTCTCATTTATACCCTTATTTAAATTCGAATTAAATTTATAAATACGTGAGGCACTTATAGTCGACTTTTGAGAATTCACATACAATATTTTTATTTTATGGATCTACCATTATACGGTTGTATAAATGATGTTACAATATCGTTAAATATGTCAGATAAATAATAACAAATCCACACAGTTATCTCGAAATGGTTTACGAGATACTTTTTTTTTTGCATAATAAGCCATTATTTGTCTCATTGATTTGCAAACAATGATATGTTTGTAGCTCGGTGGCGTTGTAGATAAGCGACGCGGCCCAAGATCGTTGTTGTTAAGCAACTTTCGCAAGAGTCGGTAACGGGATGGGTGACCAGATTTTCATCTCGAGTTATTCCGTGCTTCGGGAGGCACGTTATGTCGTTGGATCTTGGCTGTTTTGGAAATCGCTATACCCTCCAATCATTAACATGGAAGGCCTGAGGCCCTGCGAAGTGGGGACGTAAAGGGGCTGATGATGATATTGTTATATGTATAGAATATAATTTGATTTCGAAACTTTTTTGAAAATGTCGTGACGATAAATTCAATAATAAATGAAAATAACTAGTATTGCTTATAACATCAATCCATTCATAAATTATTTTATATGACTTCAATCTTATGATATGTTTCCAAAAAGTAAAGTGTATAAAATACAACGATTCCTTGCGAACCCACCTAATTTATTTTTTCATTCCCTACGCTAACAAGAAATATAGAAAATTAAAAAATAACAACTCAGTTTTCACAGAATGAAACAAAACATTATTATACATAACGATGTAAAAACAGAACTGGTATCTCATTGTGTTAGCACTTTCATATTATTAGCCAATAATACGAAAGCTCCATTTTTATTTTATATAGCTCTCATTGTGAGCTTTATTTTTTCGCAATAATAAATTCGACTTCGCACCTAAGTAGGCACTTCGTCTTTCGACGCCTTAATAAGTCATCTAGACTATACAAAAGCTGAGGAGTGCTATTTTCAATAGGAACCGTGCTCTTGTATATCATTTACGTAAATTAAATAGAAATGAAGCGTTTCGCTGAAAGGGGGCCATTTTAT